TGAGTTTTTAAGCATAAGAGTTGATTTGAGGTAAAATTTTAGATCTGCACACTTTGGCTCTCATTACGAGTTTTTTTTTTGTAAGGAGCAGTTCTGGTTTCTTCTTGTTTTTGTGTAGATACTTTCTTTTTATATTTTTTCCTTTTGTTTGTAGCAGTTATATATTCTCCTTCGAACGGTCAGGTTCTTGCAGTTCATAGTTATTGTTATCGATAATAATCATAGGAGAAGTTACCTCTTGTGCTATTTCTTTGTTGGAAGTAGAATTGCTTGTTAAGTCTACATTTTGAGTTTCTGAATTTTCCTTCATATTTGAATTTTCAGTGTTTAGAATCGTATCCTCTGTTCTTTTTAATATACTGCCATGAGTATTATTCTTTTCATTAGTTCTGGAAGTATCTTGTTGCTCTTCTGTAGTAGAGTTTTTAGGTTGTTCATCTATACACATTCCTTGAGTTGAGGATGAAGAAGCTGATATAGTTTCTTCAACCAATAGGTTAGAGATAAGTTCTGAGGTTTTTTCTTTGTTCTTATTTCTTTGATACTCCTTAAAATAATGACAGAGTGCTAAAGCTTCTTAATATTGTTCGCAATCTCTTTTGACATGACCTTCTCTGTCACAGAAAAAGCAGAACTTTGGAGCTAATTTCTATTCTGTAGTGATTTTGTTTTCTAACAAAATGTAAAAATGAGAGATTCTTTTTTCTAGATCTGAGTTATTTGTAGTGTCGAAAATAATAACCCATTGGTCAGTTAAATAAGAAGTTCCTTTTATTAAGAGTGGTTTGATCGAAGCAATTTCTCTACATCTTCGAAGGCCTCTTTGATAGCTTCAGAGACTAAGTTTTTTTCTTGTAAAGGAACGTTTCTAATTTTGACTGAAAGGAAAGACTTTCTATTATCTGTAGGAATAGAGCCAAGATATGTTTTGTTAAAGATATCTACTCCTTTAACTGCATACTCTTGTAATTTTTTTTTGTTCGCAAAGATAATTTCTAAGTGAGTACAAGCTCCTCTGTTAATATGTGGTTTTGCTACTACTATATCACTCCCTACATTATCATAAAGAGATATCATAATATCATTTAAAGAGCAGTTTTTTAGGCTGTTAATATCTAGTACTAAGGCATTATTATTTTTGGATCTAATGATACTTCTTAGAGAATAAGAAGTAAAAGTAGATTGGCCCCTTTTAACCTTAGCAAACAGACTAGACCAGGATTTTTTGGGGGTCCTTTGTAGACTCGGGGTGCTTGCAGATGTTTCTAAAAGAGATTCATTTGTTGATTTGATATGTGTGTCTATTGTTTTGGTCATATCAATATTATTTTGTATAATATCACATGTTATCTCGTCTGTTGTTTTGTTTTCGTTGTTCTTGTTTTTCTCTATTTCTTAAGATATGTTAGTTTTTCCTTTTTCAAGTTCTTGACTTAGTTGTTCATTTCAGTTAGAGGAGTTAGTTAGTAGTTTTTTTTGTTTAGAGTAGTTGATACTCGTATCTTTTTTGCTAATACTTGTAGTAGAGTGTAGATTTTCTTTGTCGCTATTACTCATTTGCAAGTTATCGTGAAGTATAATTTTTTTGTTTCTTATATTTTCTAGGCACCAAAGTTTACGTTTCTTTGGAACTAGGGCTAAAGCCTGAGTTCTATTAAAAAAAATAGTTTTAGTTTCTTTAGTATTAAATATTTTGTAAAAAGTTTTTACTTTCAGACCTAACTTTATGTAGTCAAGAGAGAGTGTGTGTAGATCTTTAACTTCATAGTGTAAAATTATATAAATTACATATATTATATAAATCATATAAATTACATAAATTGCATTTATTATATTTATAGAATTTATACGATTTATAGAACTTATATAATTTATTAGAATTATATGATAAATTAGATATATAACTTTTATAATATTTATGTAATAAATTAGATAAATTATATTTAAATTTTATATTATAAATAAAGGCCGTGTTGGCTTATAGAGGATAATAACTTCTAAATTCGCTTATAAAAACAATAGAGTTCTTTATTAAATAATTCTTACTACCTAACTCATACTTTTTTTTATTAATTTCGATATTCTACTAAGTGGTATAGTAGAATTATTTTTGCAAAGTCTATAGATTAATTTATGATTACTATACCTCCTCAAAGTGATAATTAAGCTGTCTCATAGTAGTAAGAAAGATGATCTAAGATTTAAAACTTCTATTTGCTAAATTTAATTGCTTCTTTCAATATAATCATCTAGGTTACTAATTAATTAAAAGATTAGTTTGGTCCTGATGACCAAACTGCCTATTTGCAATAGATTTTAGAGTTGTAATTAGCTTATATTAAACTCAGGTTTAATATAAATCTGATTTTCTTATAAATAATTATATGATTATACTAAATTAAATATAGAAACTACTATTTCTACTATATTAATTTGCTATTTCTACTATATAGCTAGAATTAGAATTAGAGTTAGGATGAATCATATTTTGTAATATTAGTTATAGTAGAAATAGCAAATTAATATAGTAGAAATTAGTGATTGAACCTGAGTTAGTATAATCTGAGTTAACTTAGGTTAAATTAGGTAACTCAGGTATTTAAATTATAACTTGAGTCAAATCAGGTTCTACCTGATTTGACCTAAATTATACTAACTCAGATTGATCTGATTTGATCTAGATTAATTAGACTTCTAATATGTGATTAAACTAATATACGTAAATGATAAAACTATTATAAAATATATACTATCATTATAGTTAAAATTAAAAATGATAAAACTGTCATTACATTTTATATATATCATATAATAATAATAATTTAGCAGAAATATAGAATGCATATATTGTTAGTGAAAAATTTAGAGATTTTTATTTTGCTAAATATAAATATTATTGTATTGAATATAGTTGATAAGATTTTAGAAACTAAGATTAATAATATTTAGTTGCTAAATTATATACAGTAATATAAAATACTAGTATTTTTTTTTTTTAGTTATTAAGCCACTTCCTTAGCCAATTAGATTTTATTAGTTTGTTATTATAGAACTATCACATGAACAGTTTCCTAAGGTTTTATAGTTATATGATAAGTATACAACAAACTACATGTACAACTTTAGTCAGTGTTGTCATTAGATAGCCTTTGGACATAATCTTAGACATCTTAAACATTTTAAACAAAAAAATAAACTAAATTTACTCAAAATTTTATTAAGATAACCTATTTAAACTTCTTAAGCAAAAATGTTTAGAATTAAAAAAAGAATATAATCATATAATTTTTATTTTAATTACTAAAATATTTAAGGCTATAGATAGCTTAAACACTTTGGACACTTGGATATTTAGATGTTAGACATATCTAAAAAAGCTTTAAATATGCCAAAATATACAACACTGACTTTAGTCATTGTCTAATTTAAGTAGTCTGCTATACAGATAATCGACCATCTGTTAGTTCTATACTATGCTGCTATACCTGCAACCTGCCTGTGAGTTACTTATTTAAACACTCTAATCTTTAACCCTTCCTCATATCTCAAACTAACGTCACCACTATGACTAACTGCTTAAGTCAGCTGGTTCACCTGTGGATTCATTCTTTGCATAGCTTAGGTTCTTTCAGGATGTGTATGTCTAATATATTGTGAGCCACAGAGCTCTAGTTAACCTTAGAAGTAATTCCTACCAGAGTAGTTATATGCTCATTTTACAGATTTACCTGAATTAGACCCTTGTCGATGTTTATACAAACCCAGTTCTTGCTGTAGCCATCTACTAGATATAGTCTTCCAAGTTCTAGCTAGATGTTTCATGAGGTAGATCCTCCCAATCTAGTTAGCTACCAAGCTAAGTTAGTGTTGCTGCTAATGCAAGGTACCAGGCTGCATTACACAGCAGACTTACTTGCACCTATTGATCTTATATCTTTCGTACTCAGGTTTTTCACTGGATCAAGTATTAACTAGCTTGACTGTTGAAATCTGTATTACTTCACCAAACTCAGGATTTTTACTATGCAGGTTCTCTGCCTGTAGATCCTATCAAGATTTATTTACATAATGTAACTTGAGTATTGTGTCACACTTCCAATGTCTAATTGACATTGATGCAATATGATTTACAGGGTTGTAACCCTCAAAAATGAACAGAGTTTAACATAAGTTGGATACAAAGGTCTAAATAATTATTCAAATTTATCGACAGTGGGATTTGAACTTCAGACCTCTTGCATGGCAGTCTGGTAACCTAACCACTATACTAAAATTATCAGACCTATAAAATGCTAGTATTATATTTAATATAAGCAAATAATACTTAATAAATTTTTTAAATTTATATTCTTGTTATTTTATTGTATATAAATAGTTTATTAGTTTTAGGTTCAAATTGTTTTATTACAAATATGAATAGTATATTATATAGTTTATATTTTGATAGTTTTTATAATTTAATTTAAACTTTAAAGATATAAACTGTATAAACCTAGTTTGTATTTTTATGAATATAGAAATGAGATCTTTAGTCACTATAGTTATTATTTACAAGTCAAATACTAATTCAAAATATCTAACAAAAAACTACTTAACTATCTTAATTGTATGTGAGATGGCATAAATTTATAGTGAAAAATAGACAAAAAAAAGAAATCTCTAAAAAATAGAATAATTAGCTTTATTGTTATATATATATAGATATATTTCACTATATATAATATTTATTATAACTCAGATTTTCTGTATATGTTATCATCAAAAAAAAAAAAATCAATAGATATTGCAATGAGATTTTTTTTTTCAGCTAATTTTTATTTCCTTTTTTTATAAAAAAATTTTAAATATTTCAATAGGACTATCTATGCAAAACCTAACTTATAGTAAAAAACTTTAATATTTTTAAACTTAGTGCAAAAACAAAGGCTAATTTTGACAAATATAAAGCCTGTGAATTTTTTTTTAAATAACCTACTTTGTCACGATAGTTTTTTTTTTTTTTATAAGTTTTTTTTTTTTCTATTTTTTTTTTTTTTTTTTTTTACCTTTTTTTTCATATTATAAAAATGAGTAATAATGAATTTCTTGAAAAACTACTATTTTTTGAACCATATTATAGACTGCATGATAAACTATATTATAAATTACATGTTGAACCATATTATAGACTGCATGATAAACTATATTATAGACTATATGATGAACTACATTATGAGACTAGTAATAATGTATCATCAGTTAGTTCTAATAGCAAAATCACTTCAACTTTTTCAGAAGACCAACTTTGTATTACAAAAAAAAAAAATCAAATTAACTCATTCAAATTATCGACAGCAGTATACAAAGACAAGCTAGGTATGGAAATACTTTATTTTAAATCAAGACAAGAAGTATGATATATATACTTTTGAAATTATGAATTTGAACAATAAAAAGATCAAATATAATCACAAACCTATATATAATAGTAGTACAGGAAATATGAGCTATTATCTTCATTCCAAATATAACCTACATAAAAGTTATATTAAAGTAAGTTTTTATTAATCTAATTTTAATAATTAATCTTAAAATAATACTTATACTATTAATTTTTAGAATAAAGACAATATGATATAGAAAATAATAATGAAAGCTTTTAGACAAGTTCAACTATACAAAAAGCTATGAAATCAAGAAATTAGGCAAGCAATTGCTGAATAGATTGTTGTTAACAATTTACTAATTAATATAATTTACAAAAAAGACTATAAAAAAATGATGAGAATTGTAGATCTAGCCTTTAAAATTTCTAGCAATAGAAAAATAAAAAAGAAAATTTTTACTGGCTATAATAATATAGTTGAAAATTTAAAAGAATTATTAAATAATACATACGAATTAGCATCTTTAACTACTGATTTGTAGACTTCACAAAGTAAGCATGCGTATGCAAAAATAATAGTTCATTAGCTGTCAAGTAATTTTAAGGTATACGATTGCCTTCTTTGCATAGAATATATGCTTTATTCTCATTCAGCTGAAAATATTATTACTTTTTTAAAAAAAAATATTTGAATTTAATTTAAATAGAAAAATCACTTGTATTACAATATACAATAGTAGTAATATAGTAAAAGTAATTAGGTTATAGGAGGAATTGAGTATTTACTTTGCACTGTATATACTTTGCAGCTTTCTGTAACTCATGCATTTAGAAAAAATAATACATATTTTAAAAAAATAAAATAGCTAGTTTATTTTTTTACAAAATCTTCTAAACAATGTGAATATCTTGATAAAGCTTAACAAGAATTCCAACAGAGCACACTTGCTAC